ACAAAAGAACTCAAAGCGTAAGAGTAATATTATGATTATTGCTTATATGTCATTTCCGACCAGCTAAACCTAGAGATGCTCTTGGACACTGGTGATGTTTTAGAATTTCCCTGGGTGATTTTAACACATGGGATGAGAATCACTTGTGATCTGGAAATGGGATATTCCACCCCTTTGATGAGTAAAATGAGGTGTGGGGCAATACATTTGCTTTTGTTATCTGTCTTGAAAGGCAGAGCCGAGAGGAAGAGCAGGAATAGCAACCCTGGTTGTTTCCACAGTAGTTTCTCTGCCCATCATGTGTCTTTCAGGAAGAAGCTCCTTCAAAATCTATACTTCTCTGTAAAACGGGCCATGGATAGACCCCTTTCCTTCGTGGAAATTCTTTCCTAGAGAGCCCATATGTATTTGGTACATATAAACTCATCATCTTACCTATTATTTAAGATGATCTTACTCTGACATTATTATCATTATTATTGCTGGCACAGCATGTGGCACTGGGGATCAAATCGTGGTCCCCTGAGCCTGCCAAAGCTTGCCTAAGAAGGCGCTTTAGACCACTGAGCTATCTTACTGGCTCCTTATTCTGATATTATCTCCATGAAAGATAGTGAAGCCCTCTTCTGCAGGGTCTTGCTGATCTCTTCTGAGTGTCTATCAGGGTAGTGCTGACTAACCAGAAGAATAGATGGAGGAAGGATTCAGGAAAAATCCCTGGATGAACTTGAATTCTTCAGCCTCTATTCCTTTCTGCTTGGCACACAGAAGATGTCAAGCTAATGGTCTTGTGGATTCTAGGACTCTGGAAGGGGTGGGAAGTCGCAAATTATTTATTTCAGCATTCACAACTTCAGCATCTCTTTGACAAGGACTTGTTCTAACTCTAGGAGTAACTGAATTCTAATAAGGGGCTCCTTGGGCCCTCAGTTGAACCTAAGTCCCTTGCCCTGTAGCTCACAGAATTGATCTTGGACTTTCCCACATGGAAATCATTCTGCTTTTTCCCCTTGATGGATGGAGCTGAGGACTCTACCAGTTGAATACATTCGTCATGGGATCCGGTTTTCATTACTTCTTTAACCTGCTGGCTGATCTCTCCTTTAAAAGTGTTTTTTTTTTTTTTTTTTTTTTTTTTTTAAATAGCTTTGTTTGGATTAAGACAGATGGGTTTTCCTGAAGGAGTCAAAGGTGTAGCTCTGACCTTTTCATTTTCAGCCACTTTGGACCTACAGGTGGGAGGACAAGTACTTACGTGGCTATTGCCCACCATAACCTGGTTGACAGGTAGTTAGGGTGTGGACGCAGGCAGACCTAGTTCAGAGCATGGCTCTGTCTGGCAACTGTGAGCAATGTGGGTATTTCCTTTAAATCTCAGATGCCTCATCTGAAAGGCTCTACTCTACAGGTATGTGCCATAACATGGAAAGAATGAGATGTGTGTCACGTAGTCAGTGTTCAGAAGAGGGGCGGCCGTGTTATTTTAGACATTATGATCCCTGTCCAAATTGTCTGCTGGTAAGGCAACCAGGAGCATTTTCTCTCCCTCGAGGTTAGCAGAAGTACTTGTTTACCTTGGATACCAAGCTGCTGCCAGGCAGGTGGACGCAGTGACTAGACCTTCACATACGTTTGCTATTTCCTCCCTTTTCTCCTACAGTAGTTTCCACTCTTAGAATTTCCTTTATTTTGATTCTTGATCCTTGTTAATATATGTGATCATTTATCCTAATTTTTCAACTTTATTGGGTGAAGAGATGGTTTGTAAATTAGAAATGTACACTCCTGCGTGTGTCTGGGTTGTCACGGGGGCCTGACCTTGGATGCCACTTGTATGGCCCCTGCCCATCTCTCTCCCTGACTTCACCTGAGCAGCTTTGCTCTGCTTGCCATGATATTTCTGCTTCCAAGTCAGTGAAGTGTCACATGCTCAGCCCCCTGGGCTGACAGATAGTCAGGGTGTGGACGCAGGCAGACCTAGTTCAGAGCATGGCTCTGTCCGGCAACTGTGAGCAATGTGGGTATTTCCTTTAAATCTCAGATGCCTCATCTGGAAGGCTCTACTCTATGGGTATGTGCCATTTCACATGCTGATGTGGATCAGCAGCATCTGACCAAGTGAAGACTCCCATAAGTCGTGTATCACGTTTTGTGTCCCAGGGATAAGAAAGTGGGCCAAAAATACATGTGAAGTTTCTTGTGGGGAAATAATGGCTGTTGCTCTTTAAGTATCTAAGTGGTAAAAGACCTCAAAATCTTTTATAGTAAACTCATCCAACTGTAGGGAAAGAAAAGGTTTCAGGCAACAATGAGGGTCTTAGGATCTGAGGGCCAAGACTGTGCTTTTATAAGCACGGTTTTGATTCAGCTCTTGCTGTGACTGCGCAGATCACCAGTATACCTAGATGCCAGTTTGGAAATGTCTGAGAGACATTTCCTGTGAACCATGAAGTTTCCTAGAGATACTGTGACAGCCACATGTCAAATCCAGCTCTTTATGAGACTGACTGTGGGCCGTGAATGCCAAATACTACACTTTGTCTTCTAAAAAATCCCATCTAGATGAATAATTCATAGTGTTCTAGTCCACTCAGGATGACTTGAGGGCTATATGAGAGTTGGACAGTGGTCACCATTTACAGTAAATCTTAAACTCAGCAATAAGAAAATAGCAATCTCTAGAGTCCTGGCTTCAGAAATGGCACAAAAATGGAATGAACCAAAATGAAAAGTAGATAATGGATCCACAGTGATTTAATTCTCGGTGATACTTTCATTTTATGCAAATACCAAAAGAAAAAAAACCCTAGCTACTTGAAATAAAAACAGGAACCAAAAAAATATTTAGTGTTTGATCAAGCAAGAATCCTTTCACACTTCTGCCAAGGGAGTTAAAACAAATATAGAGGTTAAATAAAAGGCCCAGGTACCAAAGAGCAAAATTTAATGAAAGCCAGAACTGTTAAGTATGGATTCCTGTTGAGAAAAATGTCAATCTCTTTCAGAGTTTTCCCATTGCTCTATTTTTAAGAAAAGTGTAGTAAAAATACATAATACAAGTTAACTTTTTTTCTTGCTTTTGTTTCCCCTTCACCCATCCACTGTTGAAAAGCATCTTCTGCCAGAGTCCTGGACCCCCAAACAGCATAGACCCTTGTTTCTAGCACAGACGGAGTCTCTCTCTTTCAGGTCATGTTTCTGGTAGGCTAAGGATCAGAGCTCATCTCACCAGGCCAAAGTCAAAAGCTCTTTGAAGCATATTGATGGTTGAAGCTATTCCCAACTCTTCCAAAATGTGGATGCCTTAATGGTGGGTCTTGTCAGATTCTACACCAGTAGGCTAAGGGCTGAGAAAGTTCTGGTGTGAAGGAAGAGGGTTGGGGAGACATGAGTCAGCGGGAACGAAAAGTGATAATCCACCTTGGGGATGCTGCTTCATGTACCACGTCCACATCAGCATGTAAGAAACTGAACGTTTTGGTTGTAAGGGTGGACAGTTGGTTCTGAAATGGTTCTTTGCTATGGCTGATGAAAGGAGAGAAGGAGCGACATAGGGAGGGTGGGAATCCACTGAAAGTATCCATAGATGAAGGCAGCCGTACTGCACCTACCTCTAGGTAGACTCCAACACATTTTGCTTGCCACTCACTAATGATGATCTCTAGCACAGAAGATTGGGTAGAGGCGGTCAGGGAACAAGCCAGACTATGGTTATGAATAAAAGCTAATGACACATGGCACACACTAAATCATGCACCTAGGAGAGTGGTTGCTGGGGAACCAGAAGCCAATTGCACCGAGAATGAGAGTTGGGGTCTCTGACAAAGCTATGTGCTGGTACTCCCACTTCCAATCAAAGTTTCAGCCTGGGCTTTTCTCCATGAACCTGGTCATTTCTCCAGTCTTGCTCTACTTCAGCTTTGTAGTTGCAGTCATAAGTGTCTTGATTCTGATCACCAAAAGGCAAGGTCCTCATTCTATCTTAGCCAGAGGAAGAACAGCCTCCCTGGGTTAGAGGTTGTGGTAAGGGATCTCCAGGTCTCCCAGTGTTATTATCAATTTAGTCTATTTCCCTATCCCTTTTCAAATAAGTCAGTCTTGGGGCATCTTTGTTCCCAAAGATGACAGAACGTTATCTGGCCATATCCTAAAACAATACTTTGCATTAACCTAAAACCCCAGTTCTCTGCATCAGCATAACCCAAAACTTCATATTTGGTCTCTCCAGTGTGGGCCAGGGCACCTCACGGAGAGCTGTATTGCTTTTAGGCTTTGCTGGGGCTTCTGCTTCCACCACCTTTTCTTCACAATTCACTTGCATAGCATTTCCCCTCATCAGAGGCTCCACAGAGGACGAGAGTCTACTTCACAAGGGGGTTCCTGGTCACTGTCAGGTAAAAGAGAATCAAAAATTATGAGCAATCTCTTCCTGGCAGTCAGCTCTTCCCAAGTCTCTTTGCTTCAGCAGGCCACTGACTTTTAGTGGCCATAGTGCCTTTGAGTATGAACATAGCAGAACATACTTTTCAGGGTTGAAGTCGACTGTGAAGAGATATACCATATACTCTCTGGCCTACAGGATAGCTCTTGCACATCAACGGAAGCTTTTTCTGAGCAGCAATAACTGCAAGAATCCTTCTCTGACTACATCTCTGCCCTTGCTTTCTCCACCACTCCTGTTCTGAGTTGCTTCTGAAATGGGTTCTTGACTGAATCAATGCTTATTCAGTGTACCAACTGGGCAAAGCAGCCCGATTCTCCAACAGCATCTGTCTCCATCCAAGGCTTGTGACCGAGGAGTGGAGGGGAACGTGGACAGCCCCAGGGCAAATTAGTTTTCAAGGCTGCCATTCTCCTTTTCTTGTTTGCAAAGAAGAAGGTGGTTCAAATCTTCAGTCTTCAATCTGAACACTGAAGAGGAACGGGCTGGGGTTGGGAAGGAGAAGGCAGGAGCAGGAAGGAGCTTAACAGAACCTGCAAACCATGTATAGTAGTGAGAAAAAAACTGCACACACTAAGACACACTAAAGACTGAATTAAAAGAAAAAAAAAACCAGTTTCTTCATTGGTGTTTAGGGACTCCGTTTTCAGACCCAGGCTTCATTAGACGGGGTTACGTTCCTGTTGTTGTAGTACATTGTCAGCAAACGTAAAAGGGTGAAAGAACATCAAAAAAAGAAAAGGGACAGGGAAGTGTTTTGTTGTTGTTGTTGTTTTTTAATTCTTCAGGGAAATCTGTTGACTCTTCCTCCTTGTGGTTGTGGTGGTTGGTGGTGGTGGCATTTCATTTTGTTGTTTTTGGCACTGAAGGGTTTGGGATGGGGCTGGGGGAGCCCGAGCCTGCTCCCCACGGGTTTTCTGTCTGCTCCAGTTATAATCCTGTGGCTCCCAAGGGCATCCCTGAACTGTGGCTCATGCACGGAATGGATTGCATCGACTTAGGGAAGTCATGGCTGACCACCCGGCCGTTCTCTCCGCTGCCGCTGCCACTGGCTCCTGCTCCGCTGTTTCGGGGGAGGGTCGATGTCCGTATGGCTTCGTTGATGGATTGCTGTGGGATCAAACAGAAACCCTTTTCAGGAGGACAGGGGGTTCTTCCCCGGGTCCTTGGCAATGAATGACAAAGGGGGATGGGTCAAGGCTGGATTTAAAATATAACCTACTTTTCCCTCCATTCAACTCCTTTCCTATTCTAGAATGCTAATACTGATTTCCTATGATGGTGCAGAAATCTTGAGGCCAGTGTTGGACAGTTCTGGGCCCCTCTCTGGGCATTGGGTTTAAAGTTTTAGATATGTGCACTGGGTATCACTAAGGTCCTTCCTTGTTCTTTTATTCTATGTTTCTTTGCTATTATTGGTGATGGTAAATACAGCAGTACAAGCAAGTGAGAAAAGCTCCTGGGAGCAGAGTTGAGGAAACGTGAGTTATAGTTGAAGTCCTGAGTTACACTTCAATTTATCCATTATTGCTATCTGGATATCTTGATTATCTGGGTATCTTCAGACTATTTTTTTTTAAGCAGGCAGTGAAAATGGCTTTGAAATGTTAAAAGAAACTAAGAATATGTCATTGTTGGGCTAAAAAAGTCCCTATTACATTTTCCTTAGGGAAATGCCATCCTGTCTGATAGAATGTGCTAAGGGCATGAGGACTTGCCTCAACAAGTGGGAAGACGAGTCTGAGGACAATATGTGACAGGTAATAGAAAGGGGCAGGTGATAAAGGGCAGGAAACTGCATTTGTAAGATCTTCGTCTGGGCGTGCCACCTTCCAGCATGCCATGGTACTTACGCCTTTGGCAAGGCTCGTCACATCAGTGCCACGACCTTGTGGGTTCTAGAACGTCTGAATTCCTACATTTGAAGAGTATTCCAAGGATCACCACAGAATCAAGTGAGTTCTGTGGCATATTCAAGACCACCAAGTAGGTCTAGAATCATACCCTATTAGACAAGAGGAAGGGTTCTGTTCAGAGTTCCTTTGGAGAAAGAAACTTTACGACATGAAATCCAATCTTTGTGTCTAACTCTCACTCCTCATTGAGAGACAATCATTTCTTTTTTTGTGACAGGGCTTGGCTTCTTGATATGCGTTAACATAGAGGAGAAGAACGAACTTCACCGAGAAATTGACTGACGAACATAATTGACTTCTTTAAGGTAGCAGTCACCTGACCTATTGACAAAGTAGATGAGCTTCTAAATGAGGTCCTTCTTATCCCCTAAGATAAGCTTTCACTTGCTGATATAATTCCTACCCTTTCTTGTGAGAAATAAGTTTCTCTCTGTCCCTTCTTGGCATGCCAGCCAATCTTAGAGTTCATCTGTATCATTACTGTTTTGAAACTGATAAAAAAGGGTTCGTGAAAAGCCCAACTTCAAGGAGAAGAAGTTTCTACAAGATGAGTTTTCTTCTCTAAAAGAAGTCATACCTGTTCTTCAAGAGGAGAAGTTTCTACAAGTTGAGAAGTTTTCTTCTCTAAAACAAGTCGTACCTGTTCTTCAGGGGGTATTCTGTTCCTGCCTCTGTCTTGCAATCTGCCTAGACTCTACCGGCCTACTGCACAGATACCTCTTTTATTAGTGTGCGCATGTGTTATGCTCTCTTGGAGGGGTGCTGTGTTAGCTACCTGCCTTCGGTCTTCTTTGAGAGCCAATGGTCTGGCAAGGCCCAAGCCTTCGCCATCCTTGGCCATCCCCAAGGTGACTAACACAGTTAGATACTTAATATATTTTTGAATTTGTCTAGGAAAAGTCAGGAACCTAACAGAATATGTCAAATGTCTGGGGCATGTTCTCCTTTGCAAATTCCCATGATTCTTGTGACCCAGAGAAGCCAGTCATGCTTCCGAGGCTGGATGAAGGTATAGCAGGGCAGTTTCAACTGCCCTGCTATATTTTCATTGCTAGAAACTCTGACAATGTTTGAAAATGTTCTTTCCTTTTTAAAATCCATGATTCAGACAGATTTACCCCATACGTTACTCTGCCCACACTGGCTCTGCCTCCTCAAACCTTGAGACTTGATTTATTTACATTTTCCCTTGGCAGTGCTCCACTGAAGAGGAAGTGTGACTTGGATGGTATTCTTTTAAGTCAAAGGCCAAATAAATACCAGTGTGATGCTACACGAGGGAAATGTGAATGAAAACATGAAGCATTAGTCGTTACTTATTCTCACCCAAAAAATAGTTGAAAAGAAAATAACATTTTATTTGCATGGGTGAGAAAATATGGATCTTTCTATAATTTGGCTTAGAGTATCTACCCATGCTTTTTCTTTTCAAATTTTCTTTAAGTAAAAATTTAAAGTTGCAAATACCAGCTTGGACTTCACCACTCAAAGGTCCCCCCTGCCCACTCTGATAGTATTTCATTGAAACTGTTGGAATATCGTGGGTTTACTTTCTAGGGTGGAAGGGTGGCATTATGGCACAGTCACCTTGGGTGCTTAGTGAAGTCTTAGCTGGGTGTGTAACTAAATACTGCAGCAGTTATGTCACTAGAACTGATTCTCAAGGAAGCAGGAAGCTTCTCAGAAGTTAAGGACTTCATCCTCCTGTCATAGGTGGGTCCTGTTTTCCCTTCTAATATGATTATTGAATCTCAGGAAAAGAGGCATTCAAATTTTGTGACTCCTACTGCTTCCCATGCTGACTTAATAGCTACGGTGTGTGGCCTGGGTAGCTGAGGTTTCGAAAGCCTCTCAGGAGGTTTGGAAGTGCAGGAGAGGTTGTCTCTCATCTGCCCCCATTGCTTCTCCCATTCACTTCACCGAGAAATTGACTGACGAACATAATTGACTTCTTTAAGGTAGCAGTCACCTGACCTATTGACAAAGTAGATGAGCTTCTAAATGAGGTCCTTCTTATCCCCTAAGATGAGCTTTCACTTGCTGATATAATTCCTACCCTTTCTTGTGAGAAATAAGTTTCTCTCTGTCCCTTCTTGGCATGCCAGCCAATCTTAGAGTTCATCTGTATCATTACTGTTTTGAAACTGATAAAAAAGGGTTCGTGAAAAGCCCAACTTCAAAGTCCCTCAAATTGGCTCTTCAGAGACTCATTTCTCTAACACTGATAACATCTTAACTTCTCATTCTTTTGCTTTGCTAAGAAAGCTTCCTGGTCTCTACATGTAGTGGGACACCCTAATAAAATGCAAACCTCAGTAATGGCCTCATCCAGGCACCCAGGCAAAGAAGGAGGGTGACCGCTTGCCATGGGGGATGTTACCTCTGTGCTGTCAATTCTCTCAGCTGCTCATTAACTCTGGGAAAATGTGCAGGCTTTCAAGTACTTCTGCTTAAACACTCCTTACGCTAGTATGGCCACATATAATTTTGAAAGGTCAGTGGCTCTCTTGGGAGTGGGAAAGGCTGAGGGTTATTTCCCTTTATGAGAAAGCTGGTTAATGAGGAAGACCCTGGGTATCCTTAATTTCAGATAAAAATAAAGATTTTTTTTTTCTTGCAGTGGGTAAATGCAGGCTATCTGAGGAAGCACTAAATTCATAATGTGTCCTCGGTTGTGTATTTTTGGTACTAAATGACAACTGAAAGTACACTCCAGGGCTGGGGCTTACCCCAAGCCCCTGTGTGTGCCCCAGCTCTCAAATGCCACCTGTCTTCCCCAGTCTATCTGGTCCTAGTCTCCCTGGCTTGCTTCCTACTTCTCAGCAAGAGTTGGAGTGTCTGGGCCTCTAGCCCTTGCACACCCTCTGCTAGCAACTATGCCCCCAGGCTGATTCCTCTCAAGCTTCTAGTCAGCTAACCATTGCCTTCCTAGGGAAGCCAAATGGCTGTGCTGCCCCCATCTTGACACCCATACAGGGCTCTGCTTTTTAATGGGTAGCACTGGGGATTTTCCTCCATGATATGCACTGAATGGGTAGATACCTGCTTATTTTCTGTTTCCCCATCAAACTGTTGCTCACTCAGAAGCGAAGCTGTGTTTGGTGCTCCTGCATGTCCAGTGCAGAGCACTCAGTGGTGCTTAGTATATCCTGTGGGGTGTCCTTCTGAACCACCCCGTGACACTTGCGTGCTCTGCTTGTCCATGCATCCACAGCACAACTCAAGAATGCGCAGCAAGAGACTATGTGTGTGCAGTTCATCTCATAAGCCATCTCAAAGAAAATCTAAGGATAGGGGTGCATTTTATTCATCTTTGTGACTAGCAGTGGGGCTAGGACTTGAATGATACATAGCCAGGGGTCAAAAATGATCACTTGCCGTGTGGTTGGAGCAAGAAAGAAATTTAGGCAAAGTGGCTTGGCTTCTGGGCTTTGTGATGGCCACATTGGCTGTCTCACTCCAGTGGTTTCAGGTCCTAGCTCCTGTGACCTTGTTAGAAAAAGCTACATAGCTCCTCTGATATTTCTTCACCTTTAGGCTTGCAAATATGTTAAATGATTAATGAAAGTGTACAGAAAGCACTTTAAATTGAAAGTTACTAAAATGTTGTTTCTTTTTTCATTATTCTCCTGCCTTTCTCCCTTGTGCATGCTATTCCTTTCTTCCTTTCCTCATTTGGTATGAAGAGGGAAGGATTTTTTTAAACACCACTGAGATCTGGGAGCCTGGGACTGAAGTAGTTTAGGTGCGGAAGATCTAAAAAGTTGGCCAAATACTGTGATCAGGGAAACAAGAGGAGAGATTCTTGCCAAAGGTCCTTGTCACCATCAATACACACCTCTGTGTGAAATTGGGGCTGCACTTCTGAGAAGAGTTAATTGCTTTTAGAGGAGGCAAAGCACAGAATAATACAGAGGACTGCAAAGCTAGAAAGCCAGAGAAACAAGTGGAGTGCATTCTACTTATCTCTTTTGGATAAGAGAGGAATTGAAGGAGTCTCAAAAATTAAGGTCGGGGTTGATTAATAAAGAAAGTATCTTTTCTTCTGTTGGAAGACAGAAAGATTTTATTAGGAACTTTACTGAGTTATGCAGAAGTCATGCCAATCAATGGCATTAATTATAGAAGATGTGGTGGAAGGTCTTGAATTAATGATTTCAAGAGACCCTGGCGCTCTCTGAGAAATTTAACATCTTCGTTATAAAGGCAAGGGTGAGAATATTTCCAAGCAGCTGTGCTATAATGAGCAACCTCTTCTAGGGATTCTGATCTCAACTTGAATATTTTGACTTCAGTAGCAAAAAGGTTCACACTACCCTCACTTTAAGACCCCAGTCTTTCTCCACCCTAGTTCCTCCTGTCTGGCATGGTCATATTTACTTTGAGTCAAATAAACCCGGAGGAAGGAATAGGCAGGAGATGCCATGCCTGGTGGGTGCCTGTCTCATCACGTTTTATGACCTCAAAAGATGAGGCCAAGACTATCATGGAGGAACTTGCTTGTGCTCCCTCAACTAGACGGTTTGGTAGGAGTACTTGGTTAGGCTGCTTGCCTTCCCTCTTCCACTAAGAGGTTTTTCTCCTCTAGAAACAATTCCACATGAATTGTGCTAATATTTACTCTAGTTGTGTGCAATAACTGGAAAGAACTCAGATGCAACTTCTGCTAGTCATAGTCTATATAGTTAAAAGAAAAATCTAACCCATGTAAGTAAGGTCAATGAAAGGGAAGTTTTAAGGAGGATACAGCTGTCCACTAATACTAATTATTATCACAAATGCTAGTTATCATTGTTATTTATTTAGAGCCTATGGTGGTGTAGCTATTTGGCCAATCTCTTTATTTCAACTATTTCAACTAATCACAATAATTAACAATTTTATGAGGTATTTTCCACTGCTCTCCCTATTTTATTTTCAGAAGTGAGGATCAGAGAGTTCCTAAAGTTTTTCAAGATGTTAGCATGAAGGAATGGAGCAGACAGGATTGACGTCAGCTGTGTGAGCCAGTTTCTGCACCAGTGAACTGCACTGTGTACTGGGGAGTGATGCAAGGGGGATGTGATTTGGGCTGGGACAGCTCTGGGCCTCTTGGGGTCCATGGGGAAGGTTTTCAGACATAGAAAGGACTATGGCTCTCCTAGGTCTCAGTCTGACTCCTTCTTTGTTCCTCATGCAGTCTTCGTCCCTCTAGAGGGTAACATGGAGAATCTCTAGGCTTATATTTTGGATGGAATAGACAAAGAAGGCTTTGTTTAGGTTTTAAAATCCCTTGCTTTGTCTGTCCATATTCTTTGGAGGTCTATACTGGGACTGGGGTTTGAATCCAATGCCTGTGTTGTGATTTGCCTTTTTAAAATAAGACCAGAGGTAGCAGAGTTGGTCGTATGTAGGACTAAGGAATTGTTAGGTTTTCTGGTTTCTATCCTGTAATTATTCCTTGTTATTACATCTTAGGGAAGTGAACTTCTAAGTCAGTCCTACAGACAGGAGACCAGAGGAGGGATCAGTTTGCATAAAGGCACACAGGGGTACTCATACGACATGTAGCTGGAACCTGGAGGGGGTGCAGAAAGATTTAGGGAGATGCCTGGGTCAAGGGAGGATAGGCTGGTGTACAACATGGAAATCTGAAGGCCAGGACATGAGGTCTTTTCTTCCACCCCCTTTTCCTTGGCTCCGGAACTGACCACAGAGTTCCCAAGCAGAGGATACCCAAAGATGATTTCTACAGGGGTGACCCTGGGTGTCTGATAGGATGGATGGTCCATGGTACCATCCATTGAAGGGCGGACAAGAGGTTATGTTTATGATTCTGCAGTGTGAAAGCTGAACTCGGAGGCATTGTATGTTGAAATGTAGGATTCTTAGGGAACATTCTAGGGAAGCAAGTGCTATTGAGTCTTCTTTTCTAGTCAAGCCAAGGACCAATGTGACATCCTTGGCATTTGCCCCGAGTGACTATACTTTCCTTCTCTCCTTGGTGTCAGTTCCACTTGTGCTTTTGATTTCTGTTGTTTTCCCTTTCTATAGGTTCCTATGGGGCTTCCTATCTATCCGTAGGTTCCCACCCTGAGTAGTTTTTGGAGATTTATTCTTTGTTGAAGTTCAAAGAAGACGTATCCCTGTCTATTTTACTTAGTGTTTTATGAGAATTTTAATGGATCTCCCCCATTGTCTTTTAATTTAGGGTCTTGATGAACTAAGTTGATTATGATATAGTATCTTTCCAAGTGATGCTTTTGTTTGAACCGGATAAAATTCAGTGAAATTTTGTAATGATCTATGTGTACTTTTACTTGTAACGTGGGAATTTCTGTGTGTTTATACTTGTAAATACAATTGTCATCAGTGCTCCTATCACTCATGTTGCCCTTGACTCGCATTTGTGATTTTGTTCATTACTTGTATCTGAACTAATTTCTTAGCGGTGTTGTAATAGGGATGTGGGTTGAAGGAGGTTATTTGTACCACTAAAACTTCTGTAATTTGGTTCTTTACTGTATTGAGGGGAGAAAAAGATCATGAAATAGTTTGTGTATTATTGGATTATAAGCAATATTTTAGAAGCTCTGTGGCTATTTTTTAGTTTTTAAATATATTTTAGTACAGAGTCTACAGGGTCTCACTACATAGATCGGACTATTAGTGATCCTCCTGTTTTCAGCTTCCCAAACTCTGGGATTACAGGTGTGTGCCACCACACCCATTCTCAGTTGCCATCTCAGTGTACAGGGGCAGGGCCTGCACAGCATGCCAGGGATCAAATCCTAGTCCCTGCTCCTGCCTAAGCAGACGCTTTAGTCCACCGAGCTATCTGGCAGGTCCTATGTGGCTGTTTTAATAATTTTTCCCAGTGTTATTTGAATCATACAAGTTATACTAAAGCTAAATAACAATTGGATTAATGTTCATAAGAGCAAGTGCACCACTGTTATGCAGCTGACTTGTAGTGTATTACTTTTGAGGCTAGTAAACTATGAAGTTTAGATATTGAATCTCGTTACAGGGTTATTCATATGATGTGATATTATTCAATACTGACACACCACATGAAGTAGTTTTAAAACCTAGTACTATTTTTATTTTAAAGGGTAGCAATGAGAAGGAAACGTGACCTGGCTCTGTTTGTCTTCTGTACAAAACCTGAAGTGTTATGTTTTGTTGGCGAGCAGCCACCAAGGGCAAAGTTGAAGGCTTTCTTGTAAGGACTGTTCTTTTTCAGGCTACTGTTTGTTTTTCTGAAAGCAGGATTTGCTTCTGCAGGAGGCAAGTTTCTTCATGTGGAATAGTGAAGCCCGAATATGGGTTATTACAATATGAAAGACATTGGTACTTGCACATTCTTAAATCATTGTGAAGTTTTGAACATGTGAATTGTCCTAAAGAAATCAATTTTTCAGTGAGTTTTACCTTTTGTGCACATGTTGATTTCTTAACAGTAAAGCCTTTGTAAAGCTAGTGTTCTCTTGAGAATATGTTCATGGAATAAAACAGTCTTTTCATGGTAAAAAAAAAAAAACCCCAAGGATGTCCAAGATCACAGATGACCCCCTCATTCTTCTCTGCTTCTTATAATACCTTGCTCACGGTGTTCATTTGTGCCCTTCCATAAATACATTGCTTTTGCTGAGGCTAAATGACTGACAGGATTGGAAGGTTATTTAATCTAAATTCCCTTTGGATGTTTCAATCTGTATCCTTCTCCATAATTATTGAAACTGTACTTCTACATCTCCAGTGTTGGGAGCTTGCTACTTACAGTCCATGCCATCTATGGGTAGCTCTACAGGAGGAGGGGTTTTTGCATATTATGTTAATATCTATTGCCTATTACTTGCAGTCATTAATTTTGTTGTATGCTTGGAACGCCATAAAACTGATCTTTCTTCCCCAACTAGGACAGTTTTTAAATTTTTGTCAACAGCCCTTAAATCCCCCATAGTTCTTCCCTCCTTCACTTGCTGACAGTGATTCTTGGTGTGGTTTTGAGCCACTTACCTAATCTGTTTACCAGTTGCTGTGCATGCTCCCCTTTGCCAATGTCTAACTAAAAATTTGGAGGTTAAGAAAACACCCATACACTGATCATGGTGCGATCAGCACAGAGGAGTGAGGAAATGCACATTTCCTATTTGGGGAGCTAGACTCCTTTGGACACACTTCAGAAAGATCAGTCATTTTGTTTGCTTAACTTTGTTTTGTGGCAGTAAGGACTGAACCCAGGGCCTTCACAACTGAGCTATTTTCCCAGTATTTTTTTTCCCCATTGTCTGGGTTTTGCTGAGTTAAGTTGTCCAGGCTGGTCTTGAATTTGCAATTGTGTCTCTGCCTCCCCATATGCTGGGATATAGGTGTGCATCACCAATCTACCCCAAGGTCAGTATTGGTAGCAATCATTCTTGCTCTGCTGACTTGATTGTTCACTTAACCCTTAACCTTTATTCTCACCAATCTCATCGGTTGCAAATGTTACCTTGAGTCCTGTGTTTGCCCAATGCACCCCAGCTTCCTTCTTTTCTCATATCCACCTCAGTTCCTATAATTTTCTTTCTAGTAGCTTTTGATTCTTTGCCCTGTCCTGACTTCAATCACTGCCCACCCTTTCTAGCAAAGAGATTCTCAGGAAACCCAGTCGTATCAAAGAACAGGTTAGAAAAAAGGCCTGGGAAGACGATGCCACCTTCATCCGCTTGGATTCACTACGGGATTTGTAGCAGAACTCGATTAAGGCAACCAGCATAGCTAGGCCAAGTCCTCCAATCAGGATGTAGAACACGCCCGCCACATTGCTGAGGCTCAGAGCACTTGTCTTGTCCTAGGAAGAGGAAGGAAATGAGGGGAGGGGGAAAATGAAGTGAGTTAAGAGGCTAAAACCATCTGAGAAACAGCACGTTTATAGACATATACTCAACCCCTCACCCTCTTTAGCATTCAAAATAGTTGAAAAAGCTTTGTACTTATTGCCTGAGTGTTAAACATTCCCTGGGGGAAATGTACATGTGTATGCAATAAGTTTTTAAGCATTCTTGGTTGTTTTGAGTTTACAATTCCATCTCTTTTCTCTTCAATGCCTTTGCTAGGGTGAGAGATGCTGTGAGAAGCTCAGGACAGCTTCTATCAAAATCTGAACACTTGAGCTTACACATTCTTTCAGAAAACTGGATCCCTTCCTTTCCGATTCAGAGCCTGACCCTCAGTCCTGCCATTGCTCAGCCACACAAGAGCCTCATGCACTGTTTGTGTTTCCACGTGTTTTTCTGAGGGTTGGCATTTAAGAGGCACTTTCCTCTGAATGTGCATTTGGTTTCAATTTAATGACAGCCATTATACATATAATAAAGAGCAAGTGATGGGCACCTTTAACTTAATGCTCTGGATCTCATTTTAGGGGAAAAATGGGGGGTGAAGAGTGAGAGAAAAGTAGTTCAATTAAGTCCTAATAATTATGCTTAATTAGTGTCATTTTTTTATGTTGAAGGAGGTTGCTGCTAAATACTGTAGGCAGATACAAATCTGGGTGGCTGAATTTAGAAATCTCTGCTGCCTATGTAAAAGATCTTATAGCACCTTTGAAGCAACAGAGTCACAGAGCAAATTGCTTACTTCCTAGAAGTCTGGGACATAGGAAGGCACAGAATGGACCCTACAGAGCCTGAGGAAGGCTATTGGAATGCTCGATCGTCCCTGAATTCTACTGTGTCCAGTGGGATTCAAAGGAGATAACATCTTCCCAAGAAGGGACAACAACCAAACCAGACTGTGGACATGGTTCACAAAGAGGGAGGCCCTGCTAAGCCAAAGCCTTGACACAGGCAAAGGTAGTGTTTAAGTCTTAGAAGAATATGAATTTCCAGATATCATGTTATCCTCAACACCTTTGGTTGAGATTTATTGTTTGTTCTGGCACAAAAAAAGTCTCATTAAATGAAATCAAAATGCACATCTAACACGGCACAGATATCCGTCATTGTTGGCTGGTAGAAGGCACTAGATGGGATGTGTAGCTTTTATATTCTGTGTGTTGCTTTCAAGGTGGATATGTAGGTGAGCTGCACAGTGATAGGCAGTATGACTTTAGAACTTCTTAGGTATCTGTCTTTTAGAATTTAGGTACATAGAAAGGAATTTATTTACAAAGTCAGTGGCCTTTTTGTTTGTTCTGCTTGGTGCATTGTACAGGATTGAGCAGGATGAGCCTAGAGAACACAGCTGGCAAATAGCAGCAGATCTTTCACCCCAGTAGCAGCAGGGCTGAAGGATTACCTGAGGCACATGCCCTTAGTGGCTTCCTGTATTGCTAAGTCAGATGGCTCTTGAATATAGGTTATACTTGGCAAGGCATTCCTTGGCTTGTAAACAGAGGAAATGATTATTCAAAGGATTCAGAGGGACAAAATATCTCCTGTTCTGGGATAGTGGTCTGACAGAAATGTATAAAATGAGTTTAGAACTTGATTCAAGTGTTGTCTGGATAAGTAAATTCCCACATCATTCAAAATGCTTCAAAGTTTGTTTGTGAGGAGATATGTAATTCTTCTGGAGAGTAATTTAGAGTCCTTGGAGACTTGGAGTTTCTATGGAAGTCTATTAAAACAAGGGTAGCCTCTTAATGTATCATCAGCTCAGGTATAACAAAGAGTGGTTGATAGTAATGCTTACATAGAGTGGGTGGGGAATGTGGTAGACCAGAAGGCCAGAGAATGCTGATTCCAAAACGTTCTGTGGTGAAGCAGAGGCCACTGGACATGAGACCAGTCCTTTCCAGTGTCTGCAGCCTTTCAGTAGCTGCACACCTCTCCTCTTTGGTCACCAAAGCTACTCTCTTCTTTATAGTTTTTCCCAAGGTCACCTTGGTTGTGGATAGCTTTCAAGGATAATGGAGTGGTGGGCATCTTTTTCTGTTACTGTCTTCAAAATTCCCTAGGAAGGCATCTGCTTGTCTTGCTGTAGAAGATGGAATCTTCACTTCTTAACTGGTATATCAGAGAAGGAAGTGGGTCTGATCTTCATATGAAAGTGGACTAAAGAAGTCTATTCTATATAACTGCTGGAAAAGTAGAGTCCAGTGATACCTAGTGCGGAAGAGCATCCCTTACTTCTGAAGAAGTCTTTGCCTTAGGGTGATGGTTGTGTGCACGCATGCATGTGCCTGTGTGAGTGTGTACACATGTATGTGTGCAACACACTCCATACAAAGAACACAGCTAGACGGTATGGAAATTTCACCCACTGCAGGACGTAGGTTGTCACTGATCCTTATTTATGCTGACACGATTCTATCGTAGCCAGGGTCAGGAAAGACTCCTGGAATCCATGAGTGACTTGGCCACATCATCACCAAAGTCAGACCAAATCTAACTTTCTAAATCTGGCATCATTTTAAATGGTTTGGGGTGAAGGGCTAGTATTGGTGTGGTCTTAGTTTAGATAGTTGAGTTACATTTAGAGAAGGTTTTGTGGTTCTTTTATGTGTGCCATTGAGCTTTTGATAACATGAGATTTAGTTCTTGCTAAGGGGCTTCAGTTCTTCTGTTCAGTTGCCAGTTATCAAATCTTCCTGATGCACTCAGTGGAAATAGAACAGGCTATCTGGTCACAGGTGCAAAATCCCTTTAACTTGAGGACCAGAGTGGTTCCAGGTGGACCTGTATATGGACTGCAGTGTTTTATAGTCAAGCTACAAGCTTCCAAGCCATGACCTGGGAAAGGCGAAGCAAGTCTTCTGAGCTCTCCTCTTGAGGACCCCATTTTCTTCCCATCCTGAAGCAGCTGCACTCCCCCAAACCAGGCAGCTTGTCGGTGGGAGTGAAAAAGTCACAACTTGTCTCCTGCCAGAAGCAGGGAAAGAGAGTGACAGTACTGAAAAGAGTGACAAGTGAAAAGAAAAATAAAGATCCCATCTTTTAGAGTTGTTGGGCTTGTTGCTATGGCAACTTGGCCCCCTCTCATCTGTTCTCCTGAACCTGCTGTCTTGATTTGCCATCTCCCTCATAAGGAAGGGAGGATTTTCCCCATATTTCTCATTGCTCTTCCCATATGCTGGTGGATTGTCCTAGAATCCTTCTGTGTTTTTCAGTCAACATCCCTTCCAAGAATGTTCAAGATTTCCAAGAGTTGGCAGGATCAGGTCTCCTTGAGTAGGGCTGAGTCAGCCTGAAGCAGAGAGGCTGGAAGCTTTCTTTATAACAAGAGGAGATGGTTCTGTGGCAAAGCTGAGGCTGGTGGACACAAGACCAGTCCTTCCTAGTACCTGCAAAATCTGGACCAATTTTGAGTGTCTGCAACTGGAATTCCATGCTTTCTAATATGCTGACAACTGGATTTTTTTGGAGACTGCTTTTGAACTTTCTACAGACTGCTGAAATTGTAACCTAACTTTGCCTTCTGGGTCATGCAGAAAGATCCAATCTATTGTGGTTACTGCTACTGCTGGGTTCATCTCATTGATTTTCAAATTTTATTTTTGGCCTAAAAACTGTTTCCTTGAGTTGTTGACTATTTCCTGGGAAATGGAGACTGACTGATTGGCTAGGCTCACTCGCTAGCTAAGACCAAAGCTGGAAAGCTACCAGGAGGTACATTTGACTAAACTAAGGGTAAGACTTTTCAAGTCAATAGAATGCACTGCCATAGGTGGTGGTTGAATTTCTCAATTGTAGAACTATTCAGGAAGAAGCTGACATGATCATAAGGTATTCAGACACTGGACACAGCTACTGCTGTGACCTTTAACACTCATCCCAACCCCAAGAGATTTGAGGTATGTAAGGAATTCCTC